TAGAAAAGTAACGCCAAAGCCTCTGAACACTCTTCTTTTAAGCTTTTCGTACGTACTCTTTCCAATGGCATGGTTTTCAAACTTTGAAAGTGTGTTTGTACAGGTTTTCCAGAAATCCGGTCTTTACAAAACTAGTGCGAACATACCTTGGGCGTTGGAAAACTACGCCATTGAAAAGAGCACATACGAAAACCTATAAAAAGAGTGTTTAGAGGCTTTCGTGTTACTTTTCTGGCACGGTGTCCATGTTCTCAGTCAAAATTGTCTACTGTGTTTGATAGTCAAATACAGTCAAGCCGTTATGCGTTACACGTAACGGTCCATCCCCTAGTCCTTACACAAAAAATTTTGAGAAAGTGTTTGAAATACTCATTAAAAGGTATCTGAATTCATCAAAAACATTCAGACCATTTGCTACACCACTTTTGTTCTTTCAGTAGCCAAAGTTTAACTTATCAGAATGTAACCGTACGAAGACGAAAAAATAGGGATATTGATAGGTAGCTGATCAGTGATTGTAGAAAAACTTGAGTCGAAACATCAAATCCCAAGTCACTTTTATAACTTTATTGTATAAATTTATAGAATCATCAACACCCTGTTAAGACGAAGTGTATGCAGGCAAAATAACGCGCCAGACTAAATAATATATAACAATATATGCGAGTCAGATAAAAGTGAGAGAGAGTGACATTGCACACAAAGGGGAATTGTATAACATTGGTATCTATTACACTCTACATAAATGACCAATGGAAATAAATAACGACAAAACAGAATGGCATGCGACGAGAAAATGACCCTATAATACAGAGTTCTACGGAGTGTAAATGCCTATTTAGCAATATCTTAGTCCAAATTTCTGGCTCTATCACACTCTCTTTTATACAGAAACTTTTTTACTACTGTTATACAATTCCCCTTTGTGTGCAATGTCACTCTCTCTCACTTTTGTCTGACTCGCACATATATTAATATGGCGCGTTATTTTTCGTGCATACACTTCATCTTAACAGGGTGCTGATGATTGTATAAATGCAAATTTGATAAGATATATTAAAGTATCACAGCCTAATTTCGATAGAACTTTAATATTTAAAATTTTTACATTTGGATAATGGAAGAAAACAGCCTTTTGTATGTCATCTTCAGTGATCATTGTTTTTCTTTTTACGAATTTGAATTTGGATAGTTGTTATTATATCAATATTATTATTTCCGAGTCATACACAAGCTGTATAAAATATGACGTTGTTTGTATATTTTTTGTTTTTTTTCTGACACTGTTAACTCCCTTTCTATTATATAGTTATAGATTTTGTTACATACACAACGTGGGTTATTCAACAATTTTTGTTTCTTTTTCCGCTCTGTCGTGTACCTTATCGCTTTTCTTCTATTGGGTCTCTAGCATTCGAATAGAGATCTAAGATATATGTCTGTTGACATTTTCTTTCATTATGGAACAAACAGGAAGAAACAGAACACTTATAGTCCTCGCATTTTGTTCTTTCATTGACAAAATGGCGGAGCAGAAAGAAAAAGAAAATAGGTTTAGTCTCGCATATTTGAAGGAGAATAGTACAATAGTCTAAACAGGACTGGGCAACTTCAACTCCGGAGTTGAGGATTTTTTTGGTGGAGTTGGAGTTGAGATTTTAGCAGGTTGGAGTTGGGTTTTGGAATTTTTATTCTCAACTCCGTTTTGCATTTTTAGAAATATTCAATGGTTGTAAAACTGATCTTCTAAACGATTGAGTGGCTGTATTCACGAGGGAATTCGGAAGTTCTTTACAGTTTCCGACTGAAAGAAGCTCAAAAACGTCCAGAATCCTGCTAAAAACCGAAAAATCTTCCTTACAAAAGTGAAGCAACCGGAGTTCAGATTTTTGTTAATGGAGTTGGAGTTAGAGTTGAAAAATTTTGAGCGGAGTTGGAGTTAGAGTTGAAAAATTTTGAGCGGAGTTGGAGCTGAAAGTCAGCGGAGTTGTCCAGCCCTGAGTTTAAAAGTGTAAACATACCTTGTTCCACTTGACAAACTCAATCAGATTAATATTAATAAAAACTTTTTGTCATCTACACTATGGCGAAAGTACTATGCATCTAAAGTCGACTCAAATTTTTTTCCTGATTAATGGTGAAAGAGCCTGAGTGTAAATTAAAAATTTGAGCAGACTTTAGATGCATAGTACTTTCGCCATAGTGTAGATGACAAAAAGTTTTTATTAATATTAATCTGATTGAGTTGTCAAGTGGAACAAGGTATATTTACACTTTTAGACTATTGTACTATTCTCCTTCAAATATGCGAGACTAAACCTATTTTCTTTTTCTTTCTGCTCCGCCATTTTGTCAATGAAAGAACAAAATGCGAGGACTATAAGTGTTCTGTTTCTTCCTGTTTGTTCCATAATGAAAGAAAATGTCAACAGACATATATCTTAGATCTCTATTCGAATGCTAGAGACCCAATAGAAGAAAAGCGATAAGGTACACGACAGAGCGGAAAAAGAAACAAAAATTGTTGAATAACCCACGTTGTGTATGTAACAAAATCTATAACTATATAATAGAAAGGGAGTTAACAGTGTCAGAAAAAAAACAAAAAATATACAAACAACGTCATATTTAACATAGCTTATATAATAATCCAAATGTAATCGAAGGAAAATTCCCGTAAAAAAAGAATTTTTTTCACATAAAGTAAACTAGAGTTATCCAATATGCGGCGTGATTCTGTGTTAATCTTATTAATTATCTGTTCAATTGGTAAGCTTTTCTAATATAGATAGAGATAACTAAAATTAAAGAAGAATATCACTGACTATAGTTATGAATGAATAGATATGTAGAAGATCACAGTTTTTAAATACTATCGACCTTTAAGTAACAACCGAGTAGTTTGAACCTGAAACCTTAGCCAAGAAAATTTGAACCTTTGCTATGTAGCGGAAAAACTCGAAAGCTTTTGTGACCAAAACAACAATAGTCTTATGCAGATCAATACTACTGCTATTCTTAGGCAAGTGTTTCGGATAAAAACACTGTATATTTCTCATAGTCGGTTAGCAAAGCAACACTTCTTGCTCACTTTCGAAGTAAAGGTTTAACAGCTTACAAAGCTAAAAATACAACAAAAGCTATCTTTAAGACGGCATTAGACGCCAGTGTTTTGATCATAACACTTAGAGAATTTTAAATATAGCCTTCGAAAACTAACAGTATCTTTCTAAAAAAAATGTTCATGAGACCGAGACCGAAAAAAATAATGCAAATCGGCGGTCGCCAGGTATAAATTGATAACTGAGTGCGCGTTTCTAGAGATTCCTCCCATATAAATAAAAGTCCATATGAAAACAAGACTTTTGAAGTCCATTGCCGTTTTGGAAGTAAGAATCATTGTCTTATTCGCCATCTTTTTTCAGATAGAGAAAATAGGACAAAAACCGAAATCTCAGAACTTTTTCAAGGATACGGAATTACAGCTAGAATTTACGGCAACAAGCTGCGGAGAAGGGGCAAACTTTTGGTGCATGATAAAACGGTGTTCAGCAGCACTCTACTAACCCGAAGCTCACTATTAATTCGAAATATCGTGAAAAGTTTCAGAACGATATCGAAATGACTGGCAGTATTTTCTATGCATGTTCTTCTGAGAAAAATGATTTACGCTGTGAAAAAAACCATCATTCACGAAAGTTATTGTTTGTGTTTGTTTCCTTTTAGCTGAATGTAATTCTCGGCGTCGCCGTCGGCAAATATCGGGCGGCTTGCCTGCTGGATACGGTAATCCAAGTGGTGCAATTCCAGGTCAATATTACCAAAGCGTTAGCAATCCAAATGCTGGCCATTATGGTACGAATATATTTAACCCATCAGATAAAAATATTGCAAAACCCTCATGTTGAAATTTTAAGGGAGAAAAATTGGGAAAATTTGCATCGTTTTTTGCAAAAATCTGTAGTAACAAAATTTCCGTGTTGTACGCAATATCACACATGAATTTTTAATGCGGTTATTTGATAAACAAAAAGTTTTTTCAAAATAACGAAAAGAAGGTTACCGTTTTTCTGAAATCTTTCTTCACATAGTTAATGTATAAAATATCGATGCGTGTAATTTCGTTACATTACTTATCACATGATGTCGCACTAGATTTGTAGACAGACCACGCACTTTGCATTGAAAAAATATGCGCAGTACAAAGCAAAAAATAATTCATCGTTTGATTGATCTTTGCAGGTACAATCAACAATTTGAACCCGTCGGGAAACAATTTAGTTTATCCACATCATAAACAGTCATATGGCGCAAATCACTATGGTTCTAATCATAATCTTCTTCCTGGTAATAATGCATATGGCAGTAGCTCATGGCAAAATAATAACCGACCTGGTTCAAATGGATGGTATTCAGGTGGAATTGGTGGAAATAATATTTATCCATATAATAACAACTATCCAAATTCAAATTTGTATATAAATGGTTATTTTAATAATTGTGAAAAAGTCAAATCAAATTTATACGCAAGATTTTTACTGTTTACCATTTTAGTTTTATTTCCCAAATAGAGGAAACGTTTTTGAAATTAATGCTGAACAATTATGTTCTCATTTTGTTATGAAGACTTTTTGGTTCAAATATTTTGGTAACATACGACATGACATATTTTGTAAATAAAAATATTTGTATTTTTGTATTTTGTAAGGTGTGCGTGTATATATGGTTGAAAAGAGCGCATCGTACTAAGCAAGAAAAACTTGGTTGTAGCTTTTCAAAACATTTTTTTGAGTAGAAAAATTTGTATTGTACATAGAAATAAATACAAAGATAGAAAATGAAGGACCACATCAAACACATTTAAAATTGTTGATTCCAAAAACTTACCGCCAATGGTATTTTGTAAAGCATTTTATAATTCAGACTTGCAGCGAGAACACCGTTCTTCAAATGGGCACCTGAAGAGGTTCCCCCCTCATTGTTCGGCTCAAAAATAGTACGATATGCTCGGTGTTGCCTACAGAGTATGTATTCAAAGTATGAAGGTTAAGTATTTTGTTCGGCTCCAGAAAATTGATAACGAGCAGATGCTAGTGTACATGCACAGCAAGAGGCGCCCCTTCTGCCGCAGTTTCTGTGGTTAATGTGAACCATAATCATGCAAAATTATAATCATGGTAGCTTACAGCGAAGAAAACAGTGGGTGAGACACGGTCAGAAAGCTTTTGCACACTGAATTACACCACTTTTATCACCATGTTGTCCTTGGTTAGTGGTAAATGAAATGATAAAAATTCACAAGATCATAGTTTGAGAGAACGTCACTGTGTGATTAGAGAACAGGCGGGCTCCGTCAGAATTTAGATTTGACTGAAATTGATTTCGTTATGTTCGTAAAAATAAGAAACCTGTAAACCAAAGTTTAAACCCCATGAGTCATGCAGTTGTAGCCAGGTCGTTCAAAACAGCCAAGAAGTTAACGACCCGTTAAGTCTCCGTTAACGTAACGTTTTCTCGCCGTTTTTACACCGTTAACTGGGGCCGTATTACGGCCTCTTCTTACACCATTTATTGGCCGTTAACGTGCCGTTTTTAAGCCGTTGTTTATGAAGTTTCAGCGTATTCCTTTAGGCCATTTTTGTGTATTGAGATCGCTTGGTATTCTATAGCAGATTTTTAGCACAGATACTTGCACCAACTTTATTTAATCAAAAAGAACTTTTTGAAAATTGTAACATAAACATGTACGAGTCGTTGAAAATAATTACAAAAGAATCTTCAAATATCTCTCTTCTTTTCTCAGTTTACTTCGTGTATTTGAACATAGATCACGAAATGAATTTAGATGGACCTTTTCATAATAACGTGCAAACCTTTCAAGTTTAATTTTAAAACATAAAAAAATTAATGCATGTTTTTCTTTTGTATTTGAGGCATAATTTTTGTGGCCAATTCTTCATCAGTGAAAAGCTTTCGCATAACCTCGCGTCCGTATTCAGCAGACGTGTTACCGCACACTTCTGACAAATTCATGTCGCCAGAAACTGGAAAAACTAGCCTCGTTTTTTTCTAAGGATACTTTGTTTAATTTTTTCAACAATGAAAAATTTACTTAAAATTTGATCAGTATCAGATTTTATCGAATGTTTTGTGCTCGTTCGAACTTCGAATGATGTTTAATTTAAGATAATGAAATTATGATAAAGGTCACTAAAATTAAAAGAACAAAAAATACGGAATTCTTTAGTGTTAGAAGAAAAATTGCGGGAACTTTTTTCAAAAAAATGTCTTTCTAAACGAGCAAAAGGTCGAGCAGTTATGCGCGCGAAAACCGTACATTTCATTTTTCTCGTGAACGAGAAGAGATGAAACCACCATTTTTTCAGGATAGGTAGTACTTGATGTCTACCATATAATAACATACAAACATTACGTATACCTCTTACTGCATACAATACAGACTGAAAAGGAACTTCATTAGATAGGCCGTGAAATTCTCTACAAACTGAGCAGGTCAGAAAATCTAGACAGGTGGAGCCAGTCATTAAAGATATGCAAAAGAAGCGTTTGAGTCCTATATACTCCTTTGTTTTTAATTTTTCATCAAAAGCTGGAACAAATCTGAGTACTGTTTTGAATAGCCCGAAGTTTTCTTCTGATGAAACTGAACTTTTCTTCAGCCCGAATCTTGTATCAGATGAGATGCATACCCCCAATTAATGAGGAAACTTGATGGCAGGGTTTTCCTGGAAAACCGGAGGGCTAGAAAATCAAGTTTTTGGTTTTAGACCAGAAAATTTTCCAAATCATATAGCCGGATAGAGCGCAGAGTTCTGAGGAAAATATTTTCCGGCTGTCCATAACGCTTTTTCACTGGAATATTTTGGTAACTTTCACTCTTCTTTGAAGCCATTCGTAAATCGACTGCAGTTCAAATACACGAAGTAAACTGAGAAAAGAAGAGAGAGATATTTGAAGATTCTTTTGTAATTATTTTCAACGACTCTAACATTTTTTGTTTATGATCTGTTCCCTGATCCCCTTGTTGAAAACATGTGACTAATAACTAAACATTCTCAATAAAAGATTCGAATTGGCACAAATCAGAGATTTTTTCAGTCAAATCTTTTGACCAGTTATTAAGTCTGAGAAATCAAGTCTCATGCAGTACTAGGCAGACTAAAATTAAGTTATAAGTCATATAGGTCAAGGCAGGTTACTTAGGACTTAGAAAAATAGAACGCCAAGTCGGTCTGTTTTGTGTCAGGGTTTATGCAACTCCAATGCAACGACTCTTTCACAAACAACCGTTCCGCGAACTGACTAATGCCCTACTCTTCAGCGGTCTTCTCTAAAGCAAATGTGGTGTGAGCCTTGAAATATTATCAAATGGCTCACTCTCATATCTTGTGCCCAAACCTTCGTCTTCAGTAATGAGATGCTATAAAAATATTCCTCTTTTCTCTTTCCTTTTTAAATATGAGTATTTTAAAATGTGCTTTCTATATCCAGACGTACTGCTGTTTTCGGCACATGGCTCACTTTTTTAACATGTAGTTTGCAAAGTCGTTATCTTATGTAAGAAAGCTAAAGTAAATAGTTTTATTGAGAATTCCAGATAAAGAAGACGTGGACACTGAAGAAAGTGGTGGCAATTTTTTTTTCTTCCTTATATATATTTTCACCATTCTTTATTCAACTTGATGACTTATCCTTTGTCTATCACAAACATATAAAGTAAGCGAGCGCAGGAAAAAATTACTGAATAGTTTTGAAACAAGAAAGTATAAAGATAATACTTGATAGAAAGCAGGAAAAGAAAACAATGATCACTGACGATGATATACAAAAAATTATTTTCTTCCATTATCCAAATGAAAAAATTTTAAACATTCAATTTCCATCGAAATTAGGCTGTGATAATTTAATATATCTTATCAAATTTGAAACTGGCAAAACAATTGTTTTACGTCAACCATTGAAAATAAATTCCTCAATCGAATTATCAACATCGTCATTTAGATTAAATTCAAATGGTTCAATGCCATATTATCCGATGCATCGGATTGAACATCAAGCATGGATACTTGATTTATTAAATCACCATCAACACATCAAGCATTTTGTACCAGAATTATTAATATTAAATCCGTTGAAGAATTATTTGATAGAAAGTTATATACCAGGTATAGTCAGAGCAGTTGTACACATTGGCGGGCCACCAGCAGGGCAATTGGAGGCAATTATCCCTCCTGGAAAAAATGTCAAGGGCAATAAGCTATTGCTGCAGTTATTGCCCTGTGAAGAATTGTATTTCGCAGCAGAGTATCTGTCCGACGTTCAAAATAAAGAGAGAGAGCAATTGCTGATAGAAAAATTTGACATACAGTTTAAATGAAGGAAAAAGTGTGTTAGGAAGGACAATAATTATGAAGAGAAGCACGTTTGTGTTTGCACTACTCTAAAAAATTTATTAGCCACCTTCCCCCAAAAAAATTTTTTTTTCGATCCGCCCATGTTTATATGGAAATACCCTGCACAATACAGCAAAAATCAACTCATATATCATTAACACAGAATGACGGATGGTCCAGATTATTGCCGGACTTTGCAAGGCTTTTTTCTCAAGTTTGGCCAAACAATTTTGTTTTGATGCTGAAAGATAGAGAAGTTTAGTTTGCCTAGATTTTAGTCCTATACACATTTTGAAATAAACATTTTCCACTTTTCTACTGCATTAAAAATGCTGAAAGCTATAAAAAGCAGAGTTGCGCAGTAGTATCTATAGAATAAACCGTAATTTTTAGTATTCATACTACCCAGTGAAAAAAAACGAGCGTGATTCCGCAAGTTCCTGGGGGAAAAATGAAACATTTTCACGCCGGAAGTGAAAGTCTTCTGCAGGAAAAGAAGCACTTTTCCCGCCGCATTCTGCAGGAATCTTTCGAAAATCTGAAGAACTCCGTTCTTTTCTTAGGGAAAATTCCCGCCGCGTTTAAGACATTTACGA